GATAAAAAAAATCACAACGTGGCTGGAAAGTGGAATCAAATCGACATTGTGAACCGGAGACTTTGATTGAACCAGTAATACTGAACCAGGACAGGACCAACGCCCGTCTAGTAGAGTACATTAATCCAGTGGGGTCAGGATAGGTGTTACATTATAATTATCTCGGAATGGTCATAGATTGAAAAATTGTAGCGTTACAAGATTTATTAGTAAATCCGTGTAATTTACACGGGTCCTGCTAGTTCATCCATGATGATTTTCTGAGCGTAGCTAAGATGTGGCATAAGGCCGAAAATGTGGAGCACCCAATGAAGATCGAACTCATTACACAGTCCTAATTGAGCTAGTGAGATAAGCTTGCTAAACATTACAGCCCGTCGAAGTATTACTTCATTTATGTTATATGTATAAAAGACATATTCTATCAGAAACACTTGCAAGAATTCCTGATAAATGACAATTCCATTTCTTCTGGGTTTCCTTACATATGATATTCGTGATGGACTCGCCAGAGTGTCACTTTGCCCGATGGCACGTGGGCTCCTGATGGAGTGTGTTCCCTAAACCAAATAAAAATGCATTAAGGAATCAAACACATGCAACTATTTTAGTACAAAAATAGTATAAGAACTTTATAAAGTCATCTGCACACTGTTAAGTACTTCCCTACAACGTGAGAGGATATTTTCAAAGCTAAAGATCATAAAGACAAGGTTAAGAAATTCATTGTCTGAGGAGAATTTGGAATCAGACATATTACTATCGATTGAAAAGGAACTGTTAGATGAAATAGATGCAGAAACAATTGTTAGCAGATTAAAAAAAAGTCGTCTAGCGAACATAAACGATTGCACGTCCTGGGTATGACAACAGACTACATCCGGCAGCAAGGTTCGTTAGGTTTTGAGGGGCGTGGAACCACATCTTAAATACTGTTGTTCCCAGATCCACTCTGACCTGGGGTGGTAGCAGCTGTTAGAGTTACAGCTATGGGCAAATAGTTAACCCACAAACTTGGGTCAAAACACTATGAAAGTCTAAAAATAGGTTTTTTATAATAAAATTACCAACAATACTTGATGTAAGTCTTCGCTTTGAGTCTGAGACCCTGTGGGAAGATGAATGAAGGCATAACATCGCCATCACTAGTAATCACTCCAAACACCATGATGTTGAGTAGACAAAAACCCTCTTTGCAGAAATACGTCAGTGAAACTTTTTTTTTAAGCATTTCACCCCAAGCAAGGTGGGAAGCCACTAGGACGCAAGGGGTTACAGAAAATTTGGAGTAAGATCAGATAGGAGTGATATAAGAAAGGATGAGGAGAAGGGTAGTGGATAGATCAAGGCAACTGGAGATGTCGATTGACATTACATTTGAATAGCTGGAGATTATAGCTCTTAGGGAAACTGGAATAGGGAGGGGAGTTTCACAGGCGAGAAAAGCGAGACATGAAGCTATTAGCGTAGAAGAGACGGCTACATTTAGGAGTTTCGATAGTGAAGGGGTGAGAGCGGGATGCCAGCCTCGTCGGGCGCTGGAACTCATGAAGTCTGGGAACCAGCGAATGCAGCTCCTCGGAGCAATTGCCATGAAAGCATGTGTAAAACAGACAGAGAGAGGCGACGGCACGTCTGTGAGAGAGCGACTGTAGACGAGATGCCAGAACAGGGCCAATTATATTGCATATCCGCCTCTGGAGCCTATCAAGAACCCCGAGGCAAACAGAAGGGTCTCCAAACCATATATGGCAGCAATACTCCATGCAAGGGCGAATTGTTGATTTGTAGATCTGGAGGATCGATTCTGGGGAGAAAAATTTCCTGGCGCGGCTCAGGGAGCCAACTTTCCTTGCGGTGGACGAAGCAATTGACTCAATGTATTTGTTCCATCTCGGGTCAGCCGTCAACGTGAGACCGAGCAGTCGCAGAGAGGTGCTCTCGAGAAGTTGGCGTCAGACATTCTTATGGAGGGCAGGGAAGGATCTCTGTGGTGATTATTGATTTCTTACAAAAAATACATATTCTATTCCTACGAACCTATCCTAAAAATCTTGTCGGCATTGCGGTTGATATACCGTAAAACAAAATAAACCAAACAAACGATTGCTCTTAAAATAGTGGATTGCATGCAATGCCCTATTGTGCTTTTGAACTATCTGTTAATGTATACATTGTGCAGTAAACAATTAAAAATATCAACAAATTTCGTCAGTAGTGCTGAAACTACAGGGTGCGATGGATAAATCGTCGTCTAAATTATGCAAAAATGAAAATAACACTGACATCTCATTTTAACATATATATTTACCAAAATTACACAAGAATATCTTGAAATACTAAATATTAGATTTATTCAATAAAATCGTCATTCGTATCAACCACGGTCTCCAGATGACTTCGGAATCTCCTGCAACTCTTCTGGACGGTCTCCTTGTTTAAGTTGGTGAATGCTGCCATAATCCTTGCCTTCAGTTCATCGTTGATTTTACTATGCATCATATTTTTAAATATCTAGTAGTCATTTTCCTTTGCAGGTACGAATATTAAAGTTTTAAAAAATTTTTGTTCGCATATAGTAAAACTGTCGACTTTTGCTTTAAAGAATATATCTTTTCTTCCAGCCAAGATTTCATAAATAATAAAATCAATTCTTATGTAACGATGTAACGATCAAGTGGTTGCAGTCTAGAGAGGTCGCCAGATGTATGGGAGTGATGTGGTCGCAGAAATTGCCTGACAGCCATTACTGGGTTCTCCTGCTTGTGTTGCCAGACATAGAGTCTTCCAGCAGCCACCCTCCTAACCCAGGGCAACACTACCTCCTCAAGACAATTGATGTAAGCCTTCACTTTGAGTCTGAGGAAGATAAATGGAGGCATATCGTCGCCATCACTCGTGATCACTCTAAACACCATGGTGTTGACTGGATATTTGGTTTTCATCACTCTCGTTACATTTTTTCTGGATGAAGCATCCGCTGCATTGACCTCAGATTGACACCCAAACTCTCTGAAATGTTTCTATTGTAGTTTCCGGCGCGAATGCCAAGCAGTATAGCATACCGTTTCCAAATTTCTGGCATCATGGAGCTCTTTTTCTCACAGACGGTGCCCAACTGACCCTACTATATTATGCAGTCGATAAAATCAAAAACAATGCGCATGCACAAAATTAAAAATATAATATGGAAACATTTACTCATTACACCCTGTATTTTTCTTGTGTTCGTACAAGAGTTTTCTTATCTGGACAGAAAGTGTGTAAAAACTGCTCAAAAGAATATGCATATCCGAGCGCTTTCGGCTATTCTTTTAGCCATTATCAAGGTCGGTTTTTATTTTTAACAGAATGTGTGTTTGTTTTCTTTTTTTTTTTGTGTGTGTGTGTGTATGCCTAAAGTTATGTGCTGACCATGTCCTAAATAATTCCTAAAAAACTGCATAAAAAACTTTTTTTTCGTTATCCATCTGATGAAGCCATATAGGCGAAATAAATTATCGGATATTATTTTCGAAACATACTTTCATGAACGTTTTTTTCTAAATGCCAATAACTTATAACTATCAGGATTGCATACCCAAATATTTTACATACTGTCAAAATGGAGAATGCATGGACAAAAAACAATTCTTTAATTCATTTTCTACCCGTTCTGAAAGATTTCCATATCAAAACTCGGAGACTTGAGGCGGAGAATATAAAATGTTAAACGATATTTTTTTTAAAGTCATTCATTTCCTTTCTATTTTTTTTGTCTAAAGCAATGTCAGCCTAGGAAAAATAATATAAGATTTTATTATTTTAAACACACATAAATGCATAAACGCTCAACACATTTTTCGTTATCCATCTGATGAAGTCCAAAGTGCATTATCGGATATTATTTTCGAAACATAATTTTATGAACGTTTTTCTTGAATGCCACTATATATATATATATATATATATATATATATATATATATATATATATAAAAGTATAGGATTGGTGTAAACGGAATAAATTCTAATAACCCAAAAAATACTATTCTTTAAAGAGTGCTCAATACAGAGTAGAGCAAATATAAAACTCTTTATTCTACATTCAACACCATCACCTGATAAGACACCAGAAGTATTGAAAGAAAATAGCTATTTTTGTAGTGATTTTATAACATATTTATGTTATATTTTTTGAATATATATATATATATATATATAATATGATTCCATCGCTACATAGGAAATGACCATGTTTCAAAAACAGAAGCTAAAACTTCTAATTCAATTATAGAAATTAAATTAAAGTACCTAGTTCTCTTTCATCCTCAAGCTAATTTTGAAATAACTAATTTTGAAATTTACGGAACTAATATTACGAATGTATATGCTTATAAAGCTCCGTAAATTTCAAAATTAGTTATTACAAAATTCGCTTAAGGATGAAACATAACTAGGTACCTTAATTTAATTCAAATTCTATAATTGAATTGGAAGATTTTAGCTTCTGTTTTTGAAACATGGCAATTCCTATATAACGATGGAATCATATTTTTAAGAAGATAATTATAATATAGGCTCTACTTGTTTATTGAGCACTGTTTTTTTTAATAAATACAAAAATACTAAAAAACTTGGGATTATTGACCTAACGGTTTCTTCTTATTTTTCAATTTATTTACACACACACATATATGTATATATATATACGTACATTATTCCTACCTCACAGACACGACAAAGGCTTCATCATAAGCAGCAAATGTTCCATTAAAGTTAATATTACAGCCAATTCTTGAGGAAAAATAATTAAAATGCATAAATCCAGTGTTATATGTTAGAGTTTTATTAGTATTCTAAAATAGCTTTTTAAAAAGTAACAAATAACGATGGAGTATACAGTAATATCGGTTACAAGAGAAAAATCGTCATTTTCTTTGCAGGTACGAATATTAAAGTTTTAAAAAATTTTGTTCGCATATAGTAAAACTGTCGACTTTTCCTTTTCTTTTCTTCCAGCCGAGATCTCATACGTTGCCCAGAAAGGGAAATACGTCGATCCGAACATCGGTCCTTCGTACTCAACACTTGAAGCTTGTCTGAGTAAGACTGTATATCCAAACATTGTCGCTTGTTACGTGATGTTTAGCCCTTCTAAGCAGCAGTGTTCTTTATACCTCACTTCTACATGCGATGATTATGTAATGAAACTTTTGCAAAACAAGGTGCATGAGGACACCACTGTCTACATGAGAGTCACTTACACAAGTAAGTAAAAGCTATTGTTCATACGATAAAGATAAAATCATAAACATCCTTTCAGCGTGTTAATGTCAACTGTTTAGTCAGTCAGATAGATGCCATGCGTGATAGACGCTTAGGCAAACATGTATCTTTCGATACATGACTGACGAGGCAGATTTTTCCCCCGGAGTTGGTTGCTACGGTAGACCAGTTGCCACCCAGGACTACAGAACCCGGTCTGTCCAGCTCTTTATAGATGGTTGGGGTGGGTTGGAGAAGAAGAGGATTCATACCTTTCACGTAAGTGAATGTAATGGATCTGACTAGAATTCGAACTCGGCTCTCTGATTTCTCAATCCGAGCCGCTATCTATTACTCCACCGTGCACCGTGGTATTGGGTTAATATTCTGTCTATTCCTTTTAAAATAGCGATATATATATATGATAAATTCTGTCCGTCCGTGTGCCACACTCGCTCTTCATAGACATGATATACCTTTTTTGGAATCAGAATGATCCCGGGATTGAAAATCTGACCATCATCTGGTATTTGAACATCCAGCATTGGGATTTTTGCCCGGATAAGGAGGGAACAGTTAAAAATTGAAATTTTAAAATAACTGAAAAAGATTAGTGATTTTTAAAGTTTTTAATTTATATTGAGTAACATAAAAACTTTGTGAATTAAAAAAAATGTTTTAAACTCTGTTTAAAATATCTCAAAAGCTTTGTGAATTGAGGAAACCAAGTTTATTTCTTCAAAATGCTAAGGAATCAGTGTTAAAGTAAGAGGTTTTATGACGTGATGTTTTGAAGTACTACGCAGTTTATGATTTGAAGAACTCAATTTTCTGCCTGAATTGGAATTTCGTGGCAAATCTCCGATTTGGCCCAAGTCGGAAATTCGGCTCAAATCGGTCTTTTGGTTGAAATTGGACTTGTATCCTGAATCAGAGTTAAAGTGAGGTTTTGAAGCTCCATGGCGTGAATTGATGAATTCAAAGTTATTTCTTCAAAATGCCATGGAAAAATGCAGAGACCAGGGCGAGAGAAGAACAGAAAATATACCAGAGGTGGGAGTGCACAAGCTAGGAGACAAGCGGATGTTGCAAATCATAGAATTTCAAAAGCATCTGAAATATCAGAAGAGGTACAAGAAGCAATTACAGTAAGACAGAGAAGACCAAGAGCATCTCAAACATCAGAGGAGGTTCAGAGAAGCAGATACAACAAGGAAGAGAAGATCAAGAGCTGCAGAGGATGACAGCCAAATTTTAAACAGATGCTGCAAACCATAGAAGAGTAAGATCTTTGGAAGCACCTGATGAAACATATGTCAGACGGGTTAGTAGTAATCACAATCAGGCTAAATCGAGTGCAGTTTCTTTTTTTTTTTTTTTTGAGTTGGTTTTTCAATACAACTGTGAAAGGAACTATTCAAATCATACAAAGATATATATTGGATCAATGAGTTAGTTAGTTATGTGCCATGCGTGATACACGCTCTTAGGCGATCATGTATCTATCGATACATGACTGACGAGGCAGATTCTTTCCCACAGTAGGTTGCCATTTCTTTCTGCGGTAGACCAGTTGCCATCCAAGATTATAGAATCCGGTATGTCCTGCTATTTAGCCATAGGGTAATGGAAGAAAAAGGGGATTCGTACCTTTCCCGATTGTATTAGCACGTAAGTGAATGTAATGAATTCGACTAGAATTTGAACTCGGCTCTCCGATTCCTCAATCCGAGCCGCTATCCTTCTGACACCCCTCATATGAAGTTATTCTCAGTGTAGTGTTCATAATAATTTGTCAAAGATCTACTAATATTACTCTTATTGTAGATAATGAGGCCTGTTTTAAGGAAACATGCTCTACCATTGTCATCACATGTAAATTGCTTGATTGCTGGATCAATGATTTATCCTTTCCTAGCTGGACGCTTGACATTTGCCCAACTCATTGAATGTTCTTGGAAAGTTTTAATTGCATTGATAAATTGTGTCTCTCCATCAATTTCGATCACAAATAACAGTTTTCCACTTAGGATATTGCAGACTGCAAGAGACTCTTTTAAACATATCATTGGTTTAACCTGGGCACAGGAGCCGTAGAGCTGCTCGCCGTAGAACATTTTCTTGGCTAGTGCGTTGTCTTTAAGGCAAATGGCATAACCTGTACAGCGAAGCCTGTGGCGATGAATGTACTCTTCGATGATAATCACACACACACACACACACACACACACACACACACACACACACACACACACACACACATATATTGTTGATACCCAGAAAAATTTACTGAACGAGGAAAAAACAAAACAGAGGTTGGAAATGAAATGTTAATCTTTATAACATCAGCAAAATACAATATTCGCCAGTGGCGTGAAATACGTAACCACTACTTTCGATACATGACTGACGAGACAGATTTCTTTCTGCGGTAGACCAGTTGCCATCCAAGGCTATAGAACGCGGTCTGTCTTGCTATTTACCCATAGCTGGAGGAGAAGAAGAGGATCCATATATTTCCCAAGAGTTTTAGCACATAAGTGAATGTAATGGATTCGACTTGAATTCGAACTCTTCGAATCCATTACATTCACTTACGTGTTAATACCCTTGGGAAAGGTATGAGTCCTCTTCTATAGTGTAAACATTGTAATGCTCCCAGATTCAAGGATGAACAGATGGGATGTGTCGTAACAAAGGAAAAATACAGTTGAAATATCTACCAGTTCATCCAAAGCCGTTGATATCACTTTTGGATGGGAACTCAGCTGAATTAAGACATTTCATTCAGCACTTCAGAAGCTACAATAATTGTTTTGCAATGACCTCATTTCGAATCTGTTAAAGACACAAAGAGAGGAATTGAGTTAAACAAATATATTAAAAGAAACAGTAATACAAACATATACAAACGAGAGTGTTACGGCAAAAGTGTTCGGTCCGACTGTCAAAGTTGGCTGCCGGAAACTTCTCTCTACAGAAGGCAGTGCCTGCTCCTATTTATAGCTAGGAGAGTCCATGCGTGCGTGGGTAAATCACATAACACTAAGTATGTTATCCATCTCAGTATTCTATCTATCTATCTATCTATCTATCTATCTATCTATCTATCCGACTGTCAGAGCTGGCTGTTGGAAACTTCCCTCTCCAAAAGGCAGTACCTGCTCTTATTTATAGCTGGGAGAGTCCATGCGTGCGTGGGTAAATTACCATAACAGAATCAAAGATGCTACCTTGCCAGAAAAAAACAACTTGTAGAATTCAGGGTAGGAGCTAGCTTAAAGTCTACACGGAGGGCGAATCTGAAGCTAGATAAAAATATAAAAAAAATAAAAATCAAGCCTTGGGCCACTTAACTGGAATTTTACTAATGTATAAGTAATTTCCGTTTTGGGTAACCACATGTAATGATGAATGTATCATTCCAACTAATAACCATCAATACCCAGGCTTACTACCCCCGCTTGGGTGGGGTAGGGGTGTCGGGTGCACATGTACTGGATTCACTTTATTCACTTTCATTGACGATGTCACACGTGGAGAAGATCTGTATGAACACCATCATTTTCGTTGCACAAAATGATGCGGCGCCATGTCCTGAGTGATATTTTACGAAGCTGTGCTTTGTTGATTGTTACAAAGGCTCTCCGAACGACGTCCTTCAACAGATGAGTATACTCGTACCGTTCATGTGCAAAATCTCTCCTTGATAATACCCGACAGAGCGTTGAAATAGAAAATTATATAATGTAGGGATGACAAGACTTTAGGACCACCAAAGTAAATTAGTAAATCGTAGGTAGCAGTTAAGAATAAATTGTGTACGTTGTCACTGGCAGCGTACACAGTACAGGGTGAATAAATTGAACCCAGTACATGTGCTTTGTATAGTTCTTTCATTGTTTTCATTACTTTTTCGTAAGGGGATGACAGGAGACGGGACTGTAGATTAAAGGGGAAAATATGTTTTCCTCCATGACAACATGACAAGAACAATAAGAACCGCAGCGTACTGCACCCGACACCCCTACCCCACCCAAGCGGGGGTAGTAAGCCTGGGTATTGCTTTGTGACCCTTACTATCTTTCCAACATTTGCTTCTTTTCTACCTACATGTATATACGTTACAAATTAAACTAAGCGCAACTGACAATTAAAGGATGAAATATTTTCGCGAATTTTGATGTCATTCTGGATTTTTGTTTTTGTCTAAATGCGTGAATTTGTTTTGCTCGTGTTAAGCCTCGAGAAAGCACTATATAAAATTCATTATTTTTTATCCATAATGTTGAATATGTTGAAATTCTTCAACTTTTTTAACAAGAAAAATCTCAAGTTGATGTTAAAAATGGCCGCCAAACATTGTTGATTTATTTAAAATGGAATGATCTATTATGACATGTCTCTAATTTGTAATTATATACGTTGTATTTATGTTCAATTTTTATAGTTGAATTGTTCACCTATATTGCATATGATCTATTATTACACATAATAAATAAAATTGATATTTTGTATGTATATTGTCTAATTTGAGATGTAGTAGAATGGGAATCCCCGTATCATAGAATTTAAGATACTTTGATTATTTATGATGTATATTTTATTTTAGGTAGTTCTACTGCTGACCCTACCAGCAAATCTCCCTCACCAACTGTCAGCAATTCCGTGTCCTCGTCTGTTGCCACAGTGACATCTAGTGTAGCTTCATCAACAGCTACTATTTCTTCTACGGCTGCCAGCACTTTCACGACACAATCAACTTTAATGCACTCCACACCATCAGATCCTACGTCGACACACACACTGGCAAGCAATCCAACTGTAGATTATACCACTCCCACACCCAGCGAAGAGGTGTCAGATTCGATCTTTATATCGACACCTGTTACCACTTACCAAGAAATAATTACGACTTCGTTAGAAACGTCTGATTCAACGCAGCCTTTTACGACAGAACAAATTTCTGATTCACCGGAAGTGATACCATCATTTTCAACAACACCTTCAGTATCCAATACAACTTCAGAGGAAGTTAGTAGTAATATTACTGCTGGGTCTTCTGGATTTAATAACTCTGTGCCGACGTCATCAGAAAGCCCTAATAAAAAGCTGTGCCCATGTAAGTGTCGTCGGCGGTCACCATTAACGGAAGAAGAACTTGAAAGCACCATTGTCAGTCTACGAAAGGAGTTATCGGTCAATAAAAGTACTTTATCCCGGACTATCCGTTCTAAAACTAGCGCTCCAGACAACCGTACATCAGCGACCAGTATGGGAATGGCTGGGATTGTGATATTGGTGTCATGTGTGGTCTTTCTTGTGGCCTCAGATTTTTCACATCTGTGCCAACATGCAAAGATCCTGAAACAAAATCTGATGTCACGATTCAAATGAAGAACACCCAACTAACGTTGCCAAAAAAAAAAAAAAAAAACATCAAAAGAAACAAAAAAACATTGGGATTGAAGCTTCGGTCGAAAATCACTGAAGATAAATAATTATAGAATATGATAATAATTATAGAATATTATAATGATTATAGACTATGATAATAAAATATATGAACAAAGTATGCAATATGGAATACGTGAAAACCAGTTGGATGTTTGAATTTCTATTTTTATTTATTTTTTCTGACATTTTGCCTTCAACAAACATTATCAAAACAACTGATATCCTCATCTTTATTGTCATATTCACAACGTTTCGGCATTTGTACGCTCTGGTCATCTTCAGGTAATATACGCTGGAATTTCGAACCGAATCGTTTATTTCGGGAACGGGCGTAGATTGTTCTAGTTCCGCGTGCCATGCCTTTTCTTGATATCTCAGTTTCAGTTATTTCCTGTTTTGTTCACCTCTGCTGTGGCTAGGTATTGAACACACAACTCTTTTGGTCAAGTCGCTGGATTACTTCAAGCAACGCTCCTTATCCACTGGGCCGAACAAGGTAAATATTGTAAATAACTACAATACCTCATCGTGAAAATATAGACAGATGATAAGTTGTTTTGATAATGTTCATTAAGAGCGAAACGTCAACAAGAAATTAAAAAAAAAATACAAACATCCAATTGATTTTCACGTATTTCATCATAATAGAATATTAGAAAATTTTAATAGTAATACCATTGAAATTGAAATAAAAGCAAGAAAAGAAAACGCAACAAAAAAGAAGGAATGGAAATGCTACTTGTCTTATGACGATTCGACATGATTAATCGATAGTGAACAATATCCAGTATTTATTAATCTTTAACTTTTTCTTTCTTTTTCGTGAGGGAGGGATGTCGCCAGGGCCGGCGCGTGGTAATAGAGGTCGGGGAAGCAAGCCTGATTGGGAGCCACGGACACGGATTTCTGCTTCTCACTATCTTATCAACATTTGTGTTTTTTTCTACCTATATCTATATACGTTACACGCACGACTATTACAGAATGGAAAATTATCGCGGGTTTTGACGTCATTCTGGGTCCTTTTTTTATCCAAATCCGTGAATTTGTTTTGCTCATGTTAAGTCTAGAGAAAACACTAAATAAAATTTATTATTGTTCATCCAAAATGTTAAATGCGTTGAAATTCTTCAACTTTTTAACAAGAAAAATCTCAAGTCGATGTTAAAAATTGCCGCAAAACATGGTTGATTTATTGAAGATGGAATGGTCATGTTGGTGGGGTCCTAATATATTGTTAGTACACTATCTAATTTAGGTAGCTGTGGTTACAAGTTATCCAGGTGCTGTCCGGAATAAGACAATCTTGACATTATGTACGTTGAAAAAGACGTAACACCGTAATGGTTATTGCAATGTATCTCTATCTATAAAAGACAGGATATATATGTGTGTGTGTGTGTGTGTGGAATGCACGGCCGCAATTTTCGACGGATTTGCACCAAAATTTACATGCACATGCTGCAAATTAGCGGGTAAGGCCAAGACCGACTTTGCATTTCCCAACTCCCATCGATAGTGGAAATAATCGATTTTTTCATGCTTCTACGGCAGTTTTCTTGTAGTTTACGGTCATTTTCTACTGGGCAGAGTGAGAGCCTATAGCTGGCTGCCACCAAAAGGCAGGAAGATTCTACTGGCCAGAGTGAGAGCCAAAAGCTGACTGACACGAATGTTAACTAGCATGCTAGCATGCAAAAAAAAAAAAAAAAAATCGATAGCTGAATTCGTCACAAGTGGGAAAATTTTAAATCTGCATGGCACTTTATTCCAATTGGCTCATTCGCTTGCTTAAACTCAACGTTGATTGTGATTCCGCAGAACTGGGTTGGGTGTGAAAAAGTATTTGTTGTTAACATTCTTTTTTCATTCGGTTTTTCCAGTTACAAGTTCTTTTTTAAAGCTGATCGTTTTGTGTTCATTTTGTTTAGTTCTTTTTTCATAACAAATTTAATGTTTAGTATAGAGCTTAGAAAGTGTGAGATAGGCAAAAAGTAAGGCATGTAGCAACATCAGCACGGCAAAGGGCACTCCTTTAAAGGCAAGGAAAGGCAAAAATATTTTAAGTCAAATCATAGCGATTGCTGTATGAGTCGTATGATTTTTGAATCAAGCAGGGGCAACGCCAGGCCATGCTGCTAGTTAATATATATATATATATATATATATATATATATATATGAAGTCAGTCAGTTATGTACCGTGCGTGATACACGCGTAGGCGATCATGTATCTTTCGATACATGACTGACGAGGCAATTTTTTTCCCGCAGTAGGTTGTCATTTCTTTCTGCGGTAGGCCAGTTGCCATCCAAGGCTATAGAACCAGGTCTGTCCTGTTATTTGCCCATAGCTGGTGTGTGGTGAAGAGGATTCATAACTTTCCCAATGGTATTCGTACGTAAATGAAGGTAATGGATTCCACTGGAATTCGAACTCGGCTCTCCGAGTCCTCAATCCGAGACGCTATCCATTTTTCCACGGTGTCGCGGATTCAGGAATCGGAGAGCCAAGTTCGAATTCCGGTCGAATCCATTACATTCACATGTGCTAATACACTTGGGAAAGGTATGAATCCTCTTATTCTCCCTCCAGCTATGCGTAAATAGTAGAACAGACCGAGTTCTGTAGCCTTGGATGGCAACTGGCCTACTGCAGAAAGAAATGTCAATCTACTGGGGGAAAAATCTGCCTCGTCAGTCATGTATCGAAAGATACATGATCGCCTACGTGTGTATCACGCATGGCACATAACTGATTGATTAAAATTAAACAAGTAAATTTTAAATGAAACTGAAGATAAAGATTGTTTAATAACAAATAACAATTTATTTGGATGTTTTCTACATCGTGTGGAGTGTTTAATAAGACGCCTTAAAAAGAAAGGAAAGGTTCACATACACACGTTGAGGCGTGTTTAATAAAACCCTAGAAGAGAAGTTTGGTACAATCTACAAAGCGGAAGATGTCGATTCAGTTGATGAGTAATCCATCTGAGATCACAACACGGAATCCCTTCTCCAACTGATTTTCCTTTTTTTATGGCTTGTATTTCTAGTTTCCAGTTAGCAGTTGCTGCTGACTCGCATAGAAGCCATTTAAAAATGGGAGGGAAGTGCTATCAGTGGTCGAATAATAATATGAATTTTATTTTCGAATATTTTAAAACGCTGCCGGAAGTGACATTCGGAGCCTATGCAATATCCTACTAAGATTGTTAGTTGAGAGGAACATAGTTTTAAAAATGTTTAGGCCACGAAACTCTTCTCCAAGATTCCGTGGAACGCGGTGCTGTGTTTTGTGGGGTGATCTTCACTTCCGCTTGTTTTGTTTGTGATGTGGGTGATGTAATATCATCTGAAAATGTTGGTGATTGTGAAATTGTTATATCTTTTGAGTCAATGTATACTGGTTTGATTCTGTCAATAGATACAGTTTCTATCTTATCATTGCGCAGAGCGGATAGCTCTGTCACCATCGACGTAGGGACCATTATAACATAGCGCTAGGGCTCCTCGAGGTGGTGTAATGGCTAGCAAACTTGTCTCGCTAGAACATTTACGACTGAGTAGTGAGTTCGATCCACACTGGTGCCCATAACTTTCGGCCTTGTGACACATCCAAGCTACGCTTGGAAAATCAATATAACATGGCGCTAAAGGTTTACTTAAAATTATTGCGTACAAAAACGTTTTCGCAATTGTACAAATCTTTTGGGATATAAGTTTGTGTAGCCACTTGTCTTGGTGGTGAAAATTGCAACCGCGACATTTTTTACTTCAGTTCTTGATCGTAGACTGTTGCAAGTTATTGCTACTTTTCAAAAATTGGCCCGGTAAGGCCATGGTGGTACCAAAAACGATTTCTGTCGGAGTACACTGCAAATCTTGGTTTGTAGTGTTGCGTATTAATAGAATTAGTGACAAGTTTTCCGCCCAATCGTTTAGGTTATCCCTAGCTGCTAATTAACTGGCGATGAAACCTCTCCCTCATACCATTTGTTCATAGATAGGACGCAGTTGTCTTGATATGGTTTACGCCTAGAACTTTTGCGAAGTCCTTAACTAGATTAGACAAAAAATGAGAACCATGAACTATCGCGATCGTGGTTGGCACACCAAATTGTGAAATCCATCTGTCGAGAAATGTAGTAACGACCTTTTCTGTACTGGTAGGAGGCACGGTGGAGTAATGGATAGGGGCTCGGAGAGCCGAGTTCGAATTCCAGTCGAATCCATTACATTCACTTACTTGCTAATACCCTTGGGAAACATATGAATCCTCTTCTCCCAGCAAAGCAAGACAGACCCGATTCTATAGCCGTGGATGGCAACTGGTCTACCGCAGAAAGAAAACTGGTGTACCACGGGAAAAAATCTGCATCGTCAGTCATCGAAATATACATGATCGCCTAAGTGTGTCTCATGCATGGCACATAACTGACTGATCTTTGATGAGATATGCCGCCATACAACGTGAGTAGCAATCGACAGCAGAATTGATAACCTCTTGATTGTGTAAGAGGCCCAGCTAAGTTGATATGAACGTTGCTGAAGCATGCGGCCGGGACACTAAAAACTCTCATGCGAGACCTAGTGTATCTACTGATTTTATAACACTGGGAGGATAGACAATGTTTAGTCCAGTCCTGTATGTCAGTCGTAATACTGGGTCACACATCACTATGTGATTAACTTAACTTGGATGAGACATGCCATGAAAGTGCTGAAAAATTGCTTTGCATAATGTTGGAGTAATATAAGGTCTTGGGTTCTTAAGACTAGTATCACACAAAATCATTTTGTTGCTAAAAGGTGATGGTAACTGAGTCAGCTGGAGTGATCTCCCTTGCATCCGTAATCGCATGTTTTCGTCTGATTCTTGTTCCTGGCCAATAGTTTCAAAATCGAAAACAGCTTCTTTTTTTTTTAAGCGTTTCA